AAAGCAGTCTGATACCTGGATAACTGAACTGGTGATTTAAAATTTTGGAGTAACTTGTATGTTTTAAATGCTTTCAGGTGCCTAGAGCCTGGGATTGACACTGGATAAATCAAAGAATCAAATAAAAGTGTTGATGACTACTGAGTCACAACCTAGTCTAGTTTATGATAAGATCATTTAATCACTGATCAAAGGAGTCAGCTCCCATGCATGACTGCTATAATAGAAAGTGTGTTCTTACTGGAGAGGCTCCTGAGCCAAAGCCATGAACTTAGATCTAGATATGAATTTTAGAAGTTGTCTTCATAATGGGCCAAATACATTCCCAGATCTGAACATATATGTTTGGAATCTGGATCCATCTTTTGGATTTTTGGCCTAAATCTAGGTCTTCTTAGACTCTAGTCCATACACTGCCCTGTGTCAGTGTTCTGAGTCAAATGTATTTTCTTGACAATGTTTAGGGCCTAAAAGTACACAGAAGTACATGAACGCACAATAAAAAGTTAAATATACATTGATATTTTAGAAAAGCACCCCTTCTGGGGATAACCCTGCATTCCTCAGAGCTGAGTTCAACACACATTTTCATGAATAAGAATGGCAGGATTTTGCCCAGCTAGAAACACCTAACATGATCAAGGCCATTGCCTTGCCTTTTGTTCTCCGATGTATGTACTGTTGGGTTGTTTTTTTTAGATACTCCAAAGCTTCTTCAAAAAGACAGAAATTGAGCCACATCTGTGTGCCATTTTCTATAGGACAGGGCTCTGGCTGGCATGCCAAGGACCTTAGAAGTCAAAGAAGCAGGAAAAGAAGAAAGATTTTCTCAGACTCTGGAAAAAGTCCTCTTTTATAGTTAATGACAGGACATTTTTCATAGGAAAATGTTATGCACAAGGGAGGGATTTTCACTGTGTGAGGTCCTGTTCTTTTCCTCCTCACTGATTGTCAGAAGAGGATAAAGAATGATATTCAATGAAAATGGAGAGAGAAGAGGATTTTGTTCAACATTAAAAACTATTTTACCACCTATCAAACTTAACTGATCAGAGGAAAAAGGGGTTGATTCTTCATTACTCCCAAGCCTTCTTTGGTGTAGGAATGTATATGAGGGCTGGTTTGGTTTCACTGGGTTTATGATCCCTTTGCACTGACAAAGTACCATCAAAAGACCAGATTAGGATATAGAATTGGCACTAGAGTTCTAAAATGGAAAATGACTTTTTGTAATAATACAGTTTTTCAAAGCTTTAGATAATACTTTCCCATGGAAAAAATGTTGACTTAGATTTTCTTTTAAATGCACAATCTTTCACCTTTTTTATTGTTCAGACTATTCCTTGACCTATATTTCAAAGGTGAATAATTTGACATGAGTTTGTTACACAACTTCTGAAGATAGGGTTTTTAATCATCTAATAAGAGCAGTTGGCCTCCTCCAAAAACTCTTAAAATCTACTCCAATCAGTTGTCTCCACTGGAGTGCTGAGCCTGCATTTTGTTCAAGTGCCAAGATGCAACGAAGCCAAAAAAATCAGGGTCAAAAGTTGCTGTTAGTTGGCATGTCTCTCTGGCAGGCTTTATAGACTATCTTGATTGAAGCACATGTTAAGCCTTTACTGAGTTTTTTTTCTTCTTATAAATACAATAATGTCTGATTTGATTTTTCACTCTCCACATGCTTCTGTGAAGAGGTCTGTGATCAGAGTGATGGAATGGCAACCTGAAGCAAAAGACAAGATTTCTGTCATACCACAGGGATTTGTGTCATTCTAAATTATTAACTACCTTCATGACTGGTGTTATCTTCTTCATTATTATAAGATCATATATGCATGAGGCAAACCAATGGAAGCAGTCAGACTACTGCACACATGTCTAGCTAGATGTTTTTGTACTACTATTGCACATAAAGATAATACCCAGTAGGTGGTGCACGGAAACAAAGCACCATACAAAAGAGGTCTGAAAGTTTTTTGCAGAATAGATGCTTGATACCAGGGTCAGGTTCACAAAGAGTTCCATTAGTTCAGTGAACCTCAGCCAAGATACAAGTGAATTTAGGATTACAGAAATTTCATGATTTTACATGGTTTTAACAGCCATCCTGGCAAAGTTTGGTAGATTTGGCTGAGTTTTGCTTTGAGTTTGGGAGGTTTTGAATCTGAAATTCATATAGGTTATGTCTACACTACGGTTTTTTTTGCGGAAGAGGCACTGCAAATGAAATGGAATTTTCCAGGACACAAACCTCTTTCCCCCATGAGAGTCAGGCTTATAAGAAGCACACAGGATTTCTTTAGGGGAAAAGGCAATATGCCGGCTTTATTCAGAACTAACAGAAATACCCAGCATCGCCCGGGGAAAATCTAGTAAAAGGTGTGATAAGTGAACTACGTCAATAACGTTAACATCACATATTTTATTGGAAATACTTTTCTCTGATATATTTCTGTAAGGAATTAACAAACCTAGTACTTTTTCTGTTATCATAGGGAAAGGATCTCATAGTTGCAGTTAATGTGACACGCTTAAAAGAAGAGTCCAGCATATGCCTATGATCAAGTGCTACTTAAAGCTAATTAGTGGCCCAGTTGGGGTCTGGGGGAACCGATTTCGAGCTATAACCAATCCAGTGACTGAACTTAGGAAATCAGTAGTATCCGTACAAAATTTGGTCTTTCTAGCTCTTACCGTTTCGGAAATCTTTTGAGACAAACAAACAAAACCTTTCGGAAACATTAATAAGATACAGTAGTAAAGCAGACACACACATGCACACAAAGTGCCACCAATCGATGTTCTATTTACCAATCCAGGGTCCCTTCCTATCAAGGTCTTGGAGCATCAGTCTGGACTGATTGAGCCCCCGTGAGGCCCACACAATTTCAAGGCAAACCGAATAACTGTGCTAATTGCAGAGCACTGAATAATCAAACTTTGGATCTGTCTGCTTGACCTGCTTCATTGAATGCTGAGTTCACAGCTTCGCATCCACAGATTTAGGTTCTCGGAAGGATGTTTGGACTGACGATTGACGGGTGCTTGCGAGCGGAGCAGGGTAAGCCCCGAGGGGCTGGGTCTGGTGCAAAGTGGGTGAGTGGACAATGAGGACCCACCTGTGGCTAAACTTCTATTCCCAACACAGAATTTTTCTTTAAAATTAATCCTGTGGATAAATTCACACACACACTTCACAGGAAGGGATTTCCATTTTCTGCTCAGCAGAATACAACAACAGCTTTGATTGTATCAATATTTCACTGTGCTCTCCAATGACTATTGATTACACTTAATACCCATTTCACTGAACCATCTGTAGCAAATTCTATTTGGAACAGTAATATGCATTGAATAAACTTTTTTTAGTTATAAAAAACAAAGATTCTGACTATTAAATGAATAACTGGGATCTTTCAGGTACCCCAAAAGGAAGATTTGGATATAGCATGAAACACTGAAACTTATGATCAATTTTTAATTAAAATATCAACCAAAAAAACCTTCATATCAAAAAAGTATGTGTTTTTCTTAGAATAAGGAAGTTGTATGAGAATCAGGGTCTTTTCCACCTAACTCCAGCTCCCCATTTAAATATCCCCCACGGCATTTGCATGAAAGTGGCTGCCACTTTTTTCCGGCTCGGGGTTTTGCCGGAGAAAAGCGCCAGTCTAAACGGGATCTTGCGGAAAATAAACCCTTTTCCGGAAGATCCCTTATTCCTACTTTCATTGATTTCTCTGTAATACTTTCACTTAATAAATGTGCTTGTTTATAAAGGGATGTGTATTAGCTTATAACTTCTGTCAATTACAGCTGTTCATAGCCTTCAAAGAGAAATCAAAACACTAATGCTAGCCTGTTTAGGAAAACTTGCTTGCTTGGGATGCCACAGCATAAACCAGAGAACAGCACAGCCTGGAAAACGCCCTCAACAGAAGGAGGAGATATGTGGGTTTTTGCAAAGGAGCCTGGAGTCCTGACTGAGTACCCTCAAGGGACCCAAAAGAGGAATACAAGTGCAGTTGCCCAGAGTTGAGACACTGTTTTTCTATAGTATTTTGCTCATTGGATTTGGTGTCATGTGATGCTGTAGTTTGACACCATCATACACTAATAGTAATATCTGATTTCTGTATAGTCTTTTATTCCTAAGGTTTAGTATGAGGTGACATGATAAATCCCTAGCAATTTGGAACAAGTTAGTTAGTTGTTTGGTACAAATTCTGTTTGTAACTATTTAGGTTTCAGCAAAATACAGGACTATGTAGCACTTTAAAGACTAACAAGATGGTTTATTAGATGATGAGCTTTCGTGGGCCAGACCCACTTCCTCAGATCAAATAGTGGAAGAAAATAGTCACAACCATATATACCAAAGGATCCTTATATCCTTTATATCCTTTGGTTGTGACTATTTTCTTCCACTATTTGATCTGAGGAAGTGGGTCTGGCCCACGAAAGCTCATCATCTAATAAACCATCTTGTTAGTCTTTAAAGTGCTACATAGTCCTGTATTTTGCTTCAGCTACACCAGACTAACATGGCTACATTTCTATTACTATTTAGGTTTCACTGAGGTTTCCTTAGAATAAGGGAGGGCAGAGTTTGACCCTCCATGGATAGCTAAGTCACGAAGGGGAAAATATGGAAATAAAGTTAGTGTATGTTTGTGTGCAATTGCTCTATATGGTGACCAACTGAAAATACACAGCCCTGACTCTTAGGACAGCTTATGGCAGAAATCACATTTTCCCTTTTCATTACATTCAGCTCCCACCTGCACCCTTAGAGCCCTGTGAGGATACAAAATTTGTATCCGCATCTGCATCTGTATCCACAAAATGAGCTGCGGATAGCTGCATCGACATCCATGGATGTGGATATCCATGGATATAAAGCAGATATCTGCAAATTTACAGGGTTCTAGGTACAACATTTGTATCTGCATCTGCAAAAATGAGCCATGGATATTGACATCCACAGATGCAGATACCTAACTGTTCTCCTATTTTCTTGTGGATTTCTGTTAATGCCGCTACCAGAGACTGGATCCACTGGTCATTTACCACAGATACAAAGTGAATATCCATGGATTTGCGGGACTGTACCTATCCTCCATCTGTGGCTTATTCTGCTGCAAATGAGACAGCCAAGTTTGGAAGAAATTGTATTGTGCAGCAGTTGTATTGTGTTGAAAACTTTTCCGTTAAAAGCATTTCCGGAAAATCATGCCAGTGTAGACGTAGCCCCAGTGTCTACAGGCATCTGTCCTATTATGAGGGATTAGGGAGCATTTATAATGCCCCCCTTTTGTCAGTTCATTTTTTTATTGGTTGGGTGTGACGGGAACTTTGCCCCACCCCCTCTGCAAGGCTCTGAGTCCTTTAAAAGAGCCGTGATAAGATTCCTACTCCAATCATTATTCATTCCCAGAACTACTTCCCCTCTAACTTTACCTACCTTAGGTCACTATCAGACCCTGAAAGAGCCATGCCACCTGGCAGTAGATTGATGACTAGGCAACACTGGCTGCCTCCATCATACTACCTCAAAGTGATCCCTTAGCAGAACAATTCATTCTTCAACAGCATTGCCAGAAAGGGGACAAAGTACATTCTGAGTGGTGGAGAGAAATCCGATATTCATTACAGATCATCATTGCAACCTACTGCTCTCCAAGGAGATCCATTAAGTATGCTTTATTACAGGGTTGGAGGAGAGGGGACAGGAAGTTTAGGAAAAAGCATGTGAACTCAGAATGTCTTTGGAAGCCATTGAGTTTGTCTGGAAACTGAGCAATATTAATGTTTACAATTGAGAATGTGAAACACTTTTAATGGCAGTTGATGTCATTCTTGGCATTACTCAATGATATAAAATATACTAAGAAGGGGTAACACATTATTAAATGTAACCAAAAGGAAAGGGGGAGCGGGGAAGTGCACAAATGGCATATGGTACTAGCTCAGAATTGTTCATTCTTATCTTTATGTTTTCATCCATAAGGTCCTTCTGAGTGAAACTCATTCCTCAGCAGATCATCACAAGCCATTACTCTGTTTACATTCCATTTTAGGACCTCAGAGTAGGGCTTCCATGGTGTATAGGTCTTGTGCTAGTAAATTCCATCCCGTATGAGCAGGAGATTGAAATGTATGCACTTTTCATAACATATGTGGTTTATTGCAAAAGAAATCTGGTAGACGTTTTTTTTTAACAGAGTAAAATAAAACAAGAGAGAAGGCAGTTCCAATTTTGTTAAAGGGCTAGAGAGCATTTTGTCCTGTGGTCATTTAAATCTGAACAAGTTAGGGAATACAGTCTTGCACTCTCAGGACCTGACCGGTCCTAAATGTGGGAGTTTGCTGGACTAGCAGAGGTCAATTCCAGACACTTACCACTGGCCCCCAGCCCAGCTATGCTTCCGGCCCCGCTTGATGGCCACTGGCTCTGCTGTTGGCCCCAGCCAGCCCACCTGCCTCAGCCCAGATGGGCTGCCAGCCCTGACCTCATTGCTGGATGCCGGCCCTGCTGCTGTAGGCCCCAGCTCCAGCTGGGCTGCCAGACACTGACCCTGCTGCTGCTGGCCTGCTGGCCTCAACTGGATTCCAGCTGCTAGCCCAGCTGGGCTCCTAGCTTGTCAGGGAGCTGGCTGCTGGCCATCCTGTCACTGGATTCCCAGCTGCTGGGACTTTCTGGTTCAGGAACATCTGTGATCCTGCCAGACCATGGATATTGCTAGACCAGAGAGTCCCAGTTTAGAGAGCTGCAACATGTACCTGAAAATTCTGCCATCCACTCACTAATACACGTGAAATGAATTAGTTGTTTGGTTCAGTTCTTGTGGAAGATATTCGTGTGATAATTAGCAATGACTAGCATGAATGGATATGGCAACTTTGTTCTTCAGCCTAGCAGTTCTTTCATTCAGAGTTAATGGACATTGACAGACTGGGTGGGGAAACTTGTAAATCCTCCCCCCCAACACACACACACACACACACACATGCACGCACGCACACACACACACACTAAAGAGAAAACCTCAGAGACTCCAAAACTATCAGTTCAGCAGCAGAATCATATTCAAAGGATAAGATAAAAGACTCTTTCAAAGTGGCTTCAAGCTCCATGTTTTATCAGAAGTCAAAGGGAGAGTCACTTAGACTTAGCCATACTAGGCTGGGAGTCAAAGATCTTTGCTAGGCTAACAAGAAACAAGTTCTTTTCTAGTTCATCAGAGGTCAAGTTTCAAGGATGGATCTTAGCCAGAATAAGATCAAGTCTTATAAATAATGAGGGCAACTGTAAACAGCTGAAATGTAGCTCACTAGACTTTACTCAAGTTTTAGAAATTGTGGGACTATTAGTATTGTACACTGTCGGTACTGAAC